AAATAAGGCGCGTGGGGGGTTGGGGGGATAAAAAATTTTCCATGGAAAATGATTGTCATCAAACAATCAAAAAGTGGAAAAATGGAAAATTTCATTTTCCATGGAAAATCAAGGCCATCAAACAGGGCCTAAAATCTATTATATATTGCTTTTCATTTTAGTGGAAGTATACGCATTATTGATATGACAAGCTGAGGTTAATTCTTTAGATGAGAAGACAATCTGTTGTTATTTTTGTTATTTTGTTATTGTATTTAAAATATCATACGAAAACTTCAAATACTATCTCAATTAAATTCGTTTTGATATTTGTTGATATCAAAAAATGACTATGTCGATTTTTGTCAATTCAAGTGATAATTTGTAAGAGGTATATTGCTGAAACGGTAGAAAATGAGAGTTTTTGCATTGATATATACAAGAAGTATGTTGAATTCCCTCAGAGACTACTATTAACATCTATTTATAGGCTTCTAATCAAGCAACTTGATCACCCAACATCACATCAACTACATTATCGACCTAGAAGTGTGTGCCATCTTCCAAATTTAAAAATGCTAATTGGTTGTTGAAGTCGTCGAACGGGTCATCATGGCCGAGATCATGACTACTCGTCATCTGAGTAATCACCGCTAATTTTTGAATGATTGAAAATGGGGTGACATCATAGATGCCACTTGTCACTTTGGGAGTGGTCATCTGGGTGGTTAGATATCACTAGGAGATATGTATTCAGAATTATAATGATGATATTTTTAAATGACGGCAGACATGGATCGAACTAACCTACCATAGGTCCAGCAATGTGTCTGGGTCGAGCTCATGGAGTAGAGCTAACATGTCATTGGTCGAGCTCATGGGGTATAGCTGACCTTCCATGGATCGAGCTGTCAACATCATGAATCGAGCAAACTCGATTATCTCTTAGTCCGTCCTCATTGAAGTTGCTATTGAATTTTCATAAACTCTCCTTCTTATATTACAGTAAATCCAAGCTGATATTGTGAGTTTGTACACCAACAATGTTACTTTAAAATGAGACATTACACCTACCTTTTCTTAAATTAACCCAACTACTTGGATACTACACTTTCTTAGATTGAAATTAGTTTTTGGTTTTCAATTTTTAGTAAATTGCTTTACTATGGCAATTTTGTTCACTTTAATTATCCACCGTAATTTGATAAATGAATGGACGAGATTCAACTTACTTTGGGCCAATCTGACATAACTTTTGCTTTTATTTTTTTTCCTGTATAAGAGTTTTTGGAAGAATCTACTTTAATTTTTATTTGGAAACTAATTTCTAAATAGTTTCATATTTCGGAAAGTGCTTTAGAGGAAGTAACTATGGATCAACTTCCTTAAAAAAAAATTATAACTAGAAAAAACACTAATAAAATTAGCCAAACAAATCTAAAAACAACTTTTGAATCTCAAAAGTTCCTTTCAACTTTGTAAAAATTATGTCAAACGAACCCTTAATCGTATTGGCACTCAAGAATCAAAGCCTTTGCCCCATGTGACAAAACAAAAAAAGTGCTTGAGACCCATTTCTTGTTAAAAATGCAGTTTGAAATAGTGATTTGATGGAAAAAACGTGGTTGAAAAATGAAGAAGAATTTTGGATTTGCATGTAATATTATTTTATTAAAAAATATATGATTGAAAATAGGTGAAAAAATGCATTTTGAAAATAATAGAGACCAAACAAGGTCAACAAATCAAGTGAAAAAGCTAATAAAATGTATTTATGATCCTTGCCCCTAAATATTCCCAAGTCCTCTTCCAAACCACTTTATTCTTTTCTTCACCAAATCAGCCAACATTTTTCTTTGTCTACCAACGTTCAATTTATTGGGCTCGTTCGTCACGTGATATAAAATACAATTTTATTTCAATAGCTTCTTGAAATTTGACACTAGTTTACTTTAATTTTCTTATAAATTTTGAAGAACTATCAAGAATTTCTCCAAACAATTCTTCTTAAATTATGTGTACAACTCTCATGTAAGTCATCAAATGTTCTATAAGTCTTTTCCGCTATTAAAAATAGTCTATTTTATAAGTTAACAAGTTGCAAGTTAATCGGTTGACTCCTTGATAGTTTAAGCTTGACCAAATTCTCTTCTTCGGTCAAACTTAAATTATCAAGGAGTCAATTTGTCAATTCGGTCAAGCTTTGATGAATACAAAAATCTTGAAGTTGGAACTTTTTAAAATTAAATTTTTATGTTCATACTCGTCCAAAATCATTACATTGAGTTATTCTGTTCAAAAAATTTATAAATGATTTAACTTATAAATAAGTAGAGGTGGATAGTGGATATTTTTGAATCCATTGAAATAAGGAGTTGAATATTAGTTTTATCTTTTATAAATAATTTGTAAATTAGCCAAGTCAAATTTTGAATGAAGATTATTTTCAGTCTTCTCAAAACTTGATTCCAAGCATTTTTAGCCAACCTTAAAAAAATTTACTTATAATTAATAAATATTATTCTCAAAATTAAGTTTGAGCTCCATTTTTAAGAAAAAAAATAAGTTTTATAATTATGATGGGATTAAAAATTAGAAAAAAGTTTTGAATTTATATAAAATTATTTTATTAAAAGAATACGAGAAAAAATATTTTTGGATAAGGGAGCTTAAAGGTAAATAAGCCCTTGTTTGAGTTCTATTATTTGAAAAAAGTAATAATTTTGGAATAGCGTTTTTTAAAGAATGTATTGTTGATAAGTGAAGAGAATTTTTTTTTGATTTATGCGTAATATTATTTTATTAAAAAAATATTTGATAGATAAAAAGTGGAGAGTAAAATGAATTGAAAAATACCGGCCAAAAGAGGGCAAGTTACAGATATTCTTCTCGCTCTTGTCAACAGGGAATGAGTACTTTTGCTCAGCTCATTCTTTAGAATTCAAAAAATCATTCAATTCAAATCCCACTTTCCATCATTTTCTTTAATCCATTTCCGTAACAAATACGTTAATCGGCAAGCTGTTGGGTTAGATATTTTCTCTCACAGATTAATACTGTTTTTACTATAAAAAAATAGGATGATGTGTCGTGTCTGCTGACGTGATTGGTCAAGAAATCTTTGTTTCTTGCATTCTTGTTCACTTCCTCTCAATGGTCATCCTCAATTCTCCTTTTGTTCAAGTTTTCTTCAGGTGGGTCTTCCTATTTACGAATAAAAATCTACATCCACTAATGTTTCTTGTCTGCTCATATGCGTTTATCTTTATTTGGTGTGAATGGTTTCACATGCTTTTGTTCGTAGAAATTCGTTATTATTTATAGCTTACGTAAAGCATCTAATTCTAGCACAGTATTTAACCTTTTTAAGTTTCTATTTCAGTGAAAAATCTGATTCTTGTTTCTGCCAAGTGTAAGTTGTTCCTTTATTTTGTCCTCTGTTTACTTCAGTTATGTGCTGGATCTGTATTTGCTTCTTCATTTATAGTATAAATGGATGGAAATCAATATTAATGTGTTAATTTGCAAAATTTGAGCGTTAATCTAATCAGAGCATCTCGAACGGGCTCTCTATTTATAAATACGGACTCTCTTTTTATAAATAACATCTCATGCATAATGGGGAATATCTTTAGATTTAGTGAGCAAAATTTTTTGTGCACTCCTACAATCTCTCTATTTTGACTCTTTATTTTGTTTTTTCCAATGAACATTTATTGATTTCTCCTCCTCTCTTATTTAACATAATTTTTTATGAGTTAATGGCCAATCAATTAAAATGTGTTTTGAATAACTTAAATTGTAGAGTATTGAAATTTGTAATTTATTAAATATAATCATTATTAATTAAGAATATACATAGAGTTTTGGAGAGCCAATCCCATTCTTTCTTTTTAAAAATTGGAATAGAGAATCTCTCGGAATTTATTTTTAAGCATTGACTCTCTAAAATAGAGAGTATTTTGTGTTTGGAGAGTTTATTAGAAACACTCTTACTGTTATGATGCTTGTAGAGTTTTGATATGCATAAATGTGTTGTGTGGTTTTGATTTTATTAAGATATTGTTTCTAATCAACTAATGGTTATCCTTTTATAGCAGAGTGATGCCGAATTCTCCGACCCCATGAATCAATTGGGCAACAACTTTTATTGAGAATTTTTGAGTTGGATTCTTATTGACCTGGTGGAAATAGCATTTGCAGAATGTTTAGAATGAATGTGATTTGGACATTTCTGTTTTGGTTACTCTCTTTTGGAATTATTTCCAATGGGTTGAGTACAAATGTTTCTTTGCGACCAGCAGTTGTCAACGTTGGAGCTATTTTCTCGTTCAACTCTACAATTGGAAGAGTTGCCAAGATTGCGATTGAAGAGGCTGTTAAAGATGTTAATGCTGATTCCAGTGTTCTCCGTGAGACCGATCTCGTTGTGAATATTAATAATTCCAATTGCAGTGGTTTTCTTGGCATGGTTGAAGGTAATTTACTGTCTACCATCACTCACAACATGCAACATCTCATTTGGCTGCTTTGGGAACTTACGAAGAGAAAAGAGCTAAGAATTTATATGTTGTCTTCATTTCCCTAGCAGAGAAGATTCAAACTCTGAGAGTTGCCTTTTGGCCTAAAATTTCCTGAACATGGAATAGAGTTAGTTGTTACTTGTTAGTATTGCTCAATCCTGTCATATTTGAGTTCTTTAACTTAGACACTGAATGGATAGGCATTGATTCATAGGTTTCAACTTTACTTTTTATTTTATCATCTTGATTTGAAGAGTGATTCGATTAACAAACTTTTGTTTGCAGCTTTGCGACTTATGGAGACTGATTCTATAGCAATTATTGGTCCACAATCTTCTGTGGTTGCCCACAATATCTTGTATGTAGCAAATGAACTCCAAACTCCCTTCTTGTCATTTGCAGCAACAGATCCTTCTCTCTCTTCTCTTCAGTTTCCTTATTTTATTAGGACAACACAGAGTGATCTCCACCAAATGAATGCGATTGCTGAAATTGTCGATTATTATGGTTGGAGGGAGGTAATTGTGATTTTCCTTGATGATGATTATGGAAGGAATGGGTTATCTGCATTAGATGATGCACTTGCAGCCAGACGCTGTCGAGTTTCCTACAAAGAAGGAATTCCCCCAGGGGATGTCAGTCGGAGTGGCATCATGGACATTCTTGTCAAGATTGCAATGATGGAGTCTCGAGTTATTGTTCTGCATGCATATCCTCCAGCAGGATTAATGATTTTTTCAGTAGCACAGTTTCTTGGAATGGTGGGTGATGGCTATGTTTGGATAGCTACAGATTGGCTTTCCACTGTGTTAGATTCCTCTTCCCCTCTTCGTTCAGAGACCAAAACAGATGATATGCAAGGAGTTCTTGTTTTGCGTCAGCACACTGCAGATTCAGAAAAGAAGAGAGCATTTTCAGCTAGGTGGAACAAATTAACTGGTGGTTCTTTAGGGCTGAATTCTTATGCACTCTATGCCTATGATACTGTTTGGTTGGTTGCTCGTGCTATTGATTCATTTTTTAATCAGGGAGGAGTGATTTCATTTTCCAACGATTCCAGCTTGCAATCTTTAGAAAGGAGTGACCTTCACCTGGAAGCCTTGAATATTTTTGATGGAGGCCCACTTCTTTTGAAGAACATATTGCAGAGTGATTTTGTAGGCTTGACAGGGCATGTCAAGTTTAATCCCGACAAATCTCTCATTTATCCTGCATACGACATTATAAACATAATCGGAACTGGTGTTCGTCAAATTGGTTATTGGTCTAACTATTCTGGGCTGTCAACTGTGCCTCCCGAGAATCTGTATTCAAGGCCACCGAACCGTTCAAGTGCAAACCAAAAACTATATAGTGTTGTTTGGCCTGGGCAGACGGTAAGTAAACCTCGTGGATGGGTTTTCCCAAGTAATGGGAAGCTGTTGAGAATTGGGGTGCCCAACCGAGTTAGTTTTCGAGAATTTATGTCTCAAGTCCCGGGTACTAATACTTACAAAGGATTCTGCATAGATGTATTCACAGCTGCTGTAAACTTACTGCCGTATGCTGTTCCTTATCAATTCATCCCCTATGGAAATGGCCATGAAAACCCGAGCTACACCGAACTTGTGAATTTAATCACAACACAAGTATGTATGAGGTCAAAAAATGAGGATGGTCATAACTATCTAATATCTTATTTTTGTGGTTACATTTGTGATTTGTTTGCATTGATAGCTTATATTATACTCACTTTTGACAGTTCTTTGACGGTGTTGTTGGCGACATTGCCATTGTGACAAATCGAACCAAAGTTGTGGATTTTACCCTGCCATTTGCTACATCTGGACTTGTTGTAGTAGTCCCATTTAAGAGGTTGAGCACGGGAGCTTGGGCTTTCCTAAGACCGTTTTCTGCTACACTGTGGGCTGTTAGTGCACTTTTCTTTCTTCTTATCGGAATAGTGGTTTGGATTTTGGAGCATCGGACCAATGATGAGTTTCGTGGACCGCCAAAGAAGCAACTGATAACCATTCTATGGTGAGTTCAAAATCAGGGTTCATTGACTTATTGAGCAAGCTATTATTTACTTTTTTGGAACAAGTACCAATTAAACTTATTTATTGCAGAGAAAACTAAGATTGTGAACCTAGATTTGAAGTTATATAAAATAATAGTAGCATCCTCAGTAATGGAAATCATCTCTTTCTACCAATATGGAGTGGCATGGGTCAAAAATATCAAATATGTTTGTTACAGTATCCTTTTGTGGTTGTAATTGGAAGAGCAAAGTGAGGGTAGAGGCAGAAAGATTTAGGAATATTTGCAGGTTTAGAAGAATCAATGTGTTTTGACTTTATGTGATGCCCCTCATTTAACAATTAACCTACTGAGCCATAGACACTGATCTCGTGATAATTTTGTCAAGGATATGATGAAATATCTGTTTATAGGATGAAATCTACTTTTAAATCCAATTTGAGATTACTTTATTTGCTGGAGTGGAAGCATATACCTTCAATAATTCATCCTTTTTTTTCTTATAAAACAATTGATATCTAATAGTTACTTTTGTGTTAATTATGTCAAAATCTCTGATATCAATTGTTGAAAATTCAAGGATCACGTATTTCTCGATACCACTTGATATGAAACTAAACACCTGATTGAGATGTTGAAATTAAATGATAAAATAATGAAATATTTGATCACAAGTAAAAGAATAAAAGAAAACAAGAAAATGTGGTAGAGGAATTAGAAAATTTTATTGCACCACAAATAATGAAGATCGAGAAATATTACTATCATTCTAAAAGTTAATAACCACTTTTCTCACACTATAAAATTATATAGAAGAACCTAATATTTATTGTGAACATGTAGGGGATGTCCAAACCCTCACAGGAGTTGTTGATGAAGTAGGATGTCAAAAAATCGAGTCCAAAACAAAAAAGGAGAGAATAACGCGAAAATTCCAAAAAGACACCGGGGGGGTCCCCGATGCCTGGGGTAAAACAACAGACACCAATGTCCTATGCCCGGCATTGCGGCATTGGGCGTGCTGCCCCCTCTTTTTTTTTCTTCCTCCAAGTTGTTTTCTCCATTCCGAACTCTTTTTCAAGTCCAATACCAATTTTCAACTTTCAATAAGCTTTCAAAATAGAACTTTAACTTGACATATGACTCCAATGAGCTTTAAATTGACATAGTTTTGAACTTTAACTTGACATAGGACTCCAATGAGCTTTAACTTGATATATTTTTGAACTTTAACTTTAACTTGACATAGTTTTCAACTTCCAACGAGCTTTCAAATTGAATTTTTCTCGACGTTCACTTCAATTAGAATTCTTCAATTACTTCAATAAGGAATTCGAGTTACATCTAAATTCTAACAATCTCCACATTGGCACTAATTCCACTACAACGAACAAAACTCCAAAATATTCTCCACTTGGAGAAGTAAAATCCGTGTGCAAGGAATGAACTGACTCTTTAACAATAACCAAAACTGATTTCTCCAACCAAACACTAAATACTCTACCTCTTCCAATGAATCCAAGCACTACTAGGCAGAATTACCTCGAATGCCCAAAAAATCATGATGATTTTAAAATTCACAAAACTAGGTTGTAACACACACCAAAGCAGAATCAAAGCCAAATACTTTTAAAGAAGGCCACTTGCTAGATTGTACGCCTTCTGCTACACTGAAAGCATGTTCAACAAAATCAGCATCCACATACCTTTTTTCATTAGGTCAATCCTTAACAATAGAATATAATGGCACCGCAGGTGATGGTGGTAAAACGATAGTATCTATATCTCCTGAACTCCACTGAGCTATATTCTTCAAATTCGACCCTTTACGAGCTTCTAAAGATATTGTACCAAACTGAATGTCCACCACGATACTAAATCTATGCTGATTGACTCTTCTAAATTCTGCACGACCCTGTAAGATGTATAATTGAGACCTTTTCTGTCCTTGCAATTCAACTTGGGTACCTTTACAAAGATCCACCTCCACCAAAGAACTCATAACCCTTTGAATCAAGGTGAGACAATGAAATGAGATTCTTTTTCAAATTCGGAACATGTCGAACCTGACCAAGTGTTCTAATTGTCCCATCCAGTAGCTTCAATCTGACCGTACAAATTCCAACAACTTGATAAGGTGTGTTGTTTCCCATAACCACGACACCTTTGGAAACAGTTTCATTGTAGTAAACAATTCCTTATTAGGACATATATCAAATACACACGCTGAATTCAGAATCCAATTCTCCTATGGTTTAGACTCGATGTCAGAAATACCCAAGAGATCTTCCTTACTTACAATGTTCTCTGTGAGGTCTGCTTCACCCGAAGTCTCTGATTGCTTCCCATATCGACTTGCAGCTAACCTTTCTTTATTCTGTAATTGTAGCAATCCTTCATCATGTGTCCCTTCTTCTTGCAGAAGTTACAAATCTGATTACTGAATTTAGACTTCGATCTGCCCCTTCCAGAGCCACCATGAGTAACAAGGTCTTCTCTATCTCTGGCCTCAGACACCAGACACTTCATCTTCTCTTTTGAAAACAAAGCATCATATACCTTCTCTTTGGTTAGTGTATCATTATTATACAAGATCGTGTCTCTACATGAAGAAAACAAAGCGGGCAACGAACACAATATGATCAAGGTCAAATCTTTTTCATCATACTTTACTTCCAAAGTTTTCAAATCAGCAACTATCTCGTTAATTACAGTTAGGTGATCTTCCAATGATCCTCCTACCATTCGATGAAAGTATAAACGCTACTTGAGATGCAATTTGTTTGTCAGACTTTTAGTCATGTACAATTGCTCCAACTTTAACTATAAACAGCTGTTGAACCATGTTTCAAAACGTCTTGAAAATGGTATTCGATATATGAAGATGAATGTGAGAAACTGCATTCTTATCCTTTGTAATTTCTCTTCCGCAGTCAAAGTTGTGGGCTTCTTGTCAATTCCGAACAACGCATCATCCAAATCCTGCTGTGCGAGTAGCGAAAATCTAGTGCTCCGATCCAAAAGCGGAATGTCATATTTCATGGAAACATCATAAACAAAAATTTCGAACAAATCAAACCCTGTGCTCTTGCGGAACTGCTGAATCTAGGCTCTGATACCACTTGTGTTAATTATGCCTAGAATCTCTTGCCGAAATCTCATTCGTTCGTGCCACAGCCAAGTTGTTGCCAATTGCTTGCAATTGCCTAGCAGCAGACCAAGATCGGGAAACGCTCCAAGTTGTTGACATGCATTTCAATTAGAATTCTTCAATTACTTTAACAAGGAATTCGGGCCACATCCAAATTCTAACAATTATTGGTAGCAATTGCATCTCTGTAGCGTGTACTATATGTCAGTGACTATTTTGCTCAACCTTTTCTTTCTTTGAGTCAACTCTGTCAAAGTCCACATTCTTCATGTTAATGACCATGGTCGCCAAACTTTTAACAACTAACTTGATTCCATATTTCCAATAAAATATATTTGATAACTTCCTCTAGGGTCCTTCTGAATTGTTGAGAGCTTAGTTATGAAAATAGTCATATTGGTTTATATGGTCCTTCTGGAGAATACGGATAAGATAATAGTGTTCTTTCGTTTGGAGGTCTTGTGAATTTTTCTTGGCAGGAAAAGATGGTCCTATCAAGTGTAACTGCTATAGCTCCGTAAATTGGCACCAATTTTACAACCTGTTTCTCAAATAATCAGTCATTTACCTTTCATCTGAGATTATTAATTATTGAAGACTCGGCTATTTTGGGTAGGATCGTTTTCAGAATCACGCTGTTTCTGTATAATTATACAAAACATCTTCAAGCTAGGAGGTTAAAACTATCTGACCTTAGCATGCTATCTGATGCAACTTACCAATCCTACAGCTGCATTAGCTTGTTACATAGCACAGTGAACTTGAACAAAATTGCCAAGGTTTAAAATGTCCGTGGCTATTAGAGTTGAGTGAGCATAATGTATTATAGTTTTATATCATTGGCTTGAAAGAGGTTTGTCGTGTTTTAATGCATTGTATTTATTATCATAACCCATTTTATTTGTCTCCCTAACTGAAAGATTAGCAGCTATGAGAAAGTGGGTTCTGACATCTATTCTCCCTACTCTTCTGCAGGTTCAGCCTCTCAACTCTATTTTTCGCGCACAGTGAGTAAAAACTGAGCCCTCGTGAATTTTTTTGGGGCATGTTATGATGATTTCATCGTTGATAGTTTTAATCTTTTATTGTTTAATCTCATGCAGAAGAGAATACCGTGACTACCCTTGGCCGTTCAGTGCTACTCCTATGGCTCTTTGTAGTTCTGATAATTAACTCAAGTTACACTGCTAGTTTGACTTCTATCCTTACAGTGCGAAAGCTCTATTCTCCTATAGGCGGAATTGAAAGCTTGAAAAAGGGTGATGAACCCATTGGTTATCAAGTGGGCTCTTTTGCAGAACATTATCTGACTGAGGAAATTGGTATATCGAAATCCCGACTCAGAGCCCTTGGATCACCAGAAGAGTATGCAGCAGCTCTTCAACGTGGTCCCGCAAAGGGGGGTGTTATTGCGGTGGTTGACGAACGCCCATATGTAGAGCTTTTCTTGTCAAGTCAGTGCAAGTTCAGGATTGCTGGTCAAAGCTTTACGAAAAGCGGCTGGGGATTTGTGAGTAACTTTCATACTAAGCATCCGTCTTTTTTGCGTGCGTGACATGCATGACACCTCAACATATAAAAAAATGTGCTAACAAATTTTTCACGCCATGTTATATTATTCTTGAGATGTGATAGTATCCATTAATTTAGACAGAGTGCCTAGGCTGTAACAAAATTGAAAGTTTTAAGATTAATTTTGAACAAAAAAAGCTTGGTGACCAAAGTGAGTAACATTATAAGTTGGGCGCCCTTTAGGATGTGATGACCACAGAAGTTGCAGTTCTGCATTTTATAGAACTTGTCACGAGTAGCATCAATGAAAGATCCGGCTCCCAAAAGTTCTTTCATTGCTAATTTCTTCTGTCTTTATCAAGGCATTTCCACGGGACTCTCCCTTGGCCATTGACTTATCTACTGCAATTTTATCACTATCTGAAAACGGGGATCTCCAGCGAATCCATGACAAGTGGTTAACAAAAAGCACATGTAGTTCGGATAACACTGAAATTGAGTCTGACCGCCTCGAGCTGAAGAGCTTCTGGGGCCTCTATCTTCTATGTGGAACAGCTTGCATCATTGCTCTTGTTATATACTTTGTTCAGATTGTACGCAAGTATAGGCAATGGGTCACTTCCGAATCCATTTCAGATGAACAAGGGACCCCACATTCTAGACGCCTTCGGACATTGTTATCATTAATGGATGAGAAGCAGGATCATTCAAGTAGAGATGCAAAAAGAAGGAAAATCGATCAATCATTGTCTGAATATGACGAGGAAAATGACCTGGGACGGGATTCCAAACAGAGACACTCGCAAATTTCTTCTGAACTGGCATCAACTTAAGTGACTGAACCCAATCCATCACCTGGTTTTCATTACGGTGAGCATGAACATGCTTCCTATTTTATTCCTACACAATGAAAGTATCGTATTTGACCTCCCAAGGGTTTAGGATCTCTAATTTACTAAGCAAATTGTATCTACACGTAGAGAGAATTGTTCTTTTGAATGAGTTGTATTCGTGTACTGATGCCAGAATCTGGTTTGAACTTAGACTTTATGTCATTAAATGAAATAAAGTTGTTCCTTTTCTTTTCAATTGTGAGAAGCATGGACAGGTAGGGGGATCGAGATTTTAGAGTTCGAGAAAAAATGAATTCCAAGAATATAGATTTTTAATGCGCCATGCTGTATATGCCTGTTCGATAGAACTTTGTCTTAAAGTTTGGGCGGTCTTTCTCACCTTTTGAATTTAAGAACTTTCTTCCGATTATGTTAGTCTTTAAAGGCTAGAAGAAATGCATTCTGTTTTTGATATACATGGAGTTATGGTGTGTGGAAATTTTCTTCTGCACTACAAAATTGTGTTTGTATTTGATCATTTGAAAGAGAGAAGTGGACAACCATATTTCATTAAAATGATATCGTCATGCATGTAGAGGCAGACCAGTCAGGCATGCTCCTACATCCCAGACATGTTGAGCCTGACTAAAGGGGCATGTAGCCTGCCTGGACTGTGCCAGGCAGCCTAGGTGATTGTTGATTATGAGTAAAGATGTTAAGCATCTGTTTGACAGAGATTTTTGGGAATAGATTTTGTGAAAAAGTGATTTTTGAAGAATGTCTTTAAAAAGTAGGAAAAGTACTGGATTTATTCGTAAAATTATTTTATTAAGAGATTAATGTATGGTTGTAAATGAGTTTAGGAAAAAACGAGCCTTAGAAAATGGAGGTCAAAAAAGGGCTGAGTTAGTTCCTTGAATTTTAATTTTTGATGTGGTGTCATAAACTTTATTCCTAGTTATATTGGTACTTTTAAGTGGATGTATGGGAGTACTTTTAAGTGTTAATAAGTGAATTTTACATAACGTGTAGATGATAAGTGTGTAGATAACAAGTATGTAAATTGGGAATCCTACGTAATCTGTAAATATAAAGTATATTTGAAAAGCTTAAAAAATAAAAACATTTCCTAAAGATGCTCCATATATATTACCACCGAGCACAATCATTGAGGTTCAAATCATTCATATAATATACCAAAAAATAAAAAATAAAAAAATCAACGATTTGACACTTGTTTAAGACCCCGTTTGATACCTTTAAAAAATCTGATTAAGAGCTTATTTGGGAGAGATTAAAATTAGATTAAAATTGAAAATATAGTCGTTGAAGTTAACTTTTATTAGACGAGTGGAATCCAATAATAACTATATTTTCAATTTTAATTGGATTTTAATCCTTCCCAAATATGCTCTAAAGTTTAAATCAAATATCCCCCTATTTTTCAAAAGATGTACGCTCTGCAAAACAATGAATGTGATGATATTGAAAAACCAACGAATTCTTTGGAAATATCATTTATGGTTTAATGACATTCGTAGGTTCAAGATTACTCTTTCAAAATAAATATTTATTTTTTTGACCATATTTGAATTGTTAGTACATCTTTGACTGTCACTACGAAAAGTAGCACGTCTTTGGTTGTAAAATATCGATTGCTTGTTAACACGTGAAATCAGATATTCTAAATGTAGAGCCGAAAAGTTTAAACCGAACATGTATGTATATATATAAAATTTCCAATGGAATCTAAAATTTTGTGGGCTCTCCTGCTAGACAACTCCTTTTGACTTTAGTACCATGAAAAGGGAAACAGCTAATTCTGCCCTCAATAGAGAGAACAAACTTTTAAAACAAACAAAACGGTGCAAGAAAAAGGTATAATTTGAGATGAACTTTTTCCATGTGCATGTACTCATCCCCTGTCTGTTTTCCTCCTTTACAAAAGTTAAAGCTCAATTACTTTTGACATTATTATTTTTTATTTTTGAAATTTTTGCAATAGTCTGATGCTGATGAGTGAAATATTGAATGTTATGACAAAAAAACATATCCAACATTATATAGCTTAATAGAGTTAATTGATATTAGGACATCAAGAATACATTTGCTATTCAATTTTCACCTCTTCTTGATTCTCTACTTTTCTGTCACTGGTGTGCATATTGGCATTTTCCATAACCTGCCCAGAGGGGAAAAGAGAGAGGAAGAAAATAATTAGAAAATTGTTATAGTATCGAAGCCAGAATTTAAATAAATAAATAGACAAGAAGGTTCAATGTGGTAGTAGAATGGATTAATATCCTGAGTTCAAATCTATGAAATTTTGCACGTGTTAGGTAATTTTTGATGAGAAAATGAATATCTGATCGCACATGAGGAGACATGTTGAATGCAAAATGCTTTTAAGTAGAAACCAAGACACAAACTCATTCTCAGATGGACTTGTTTATAGTAGCTTGTAACAAAATGAGTTACTCAGATTTGTGCGTTCATGCTTCAGATGGTATAGAACTCTAAAAGATAGAGCTAGAGGCGCTCGGCAAATTAAAGGTTTGTCCATCGGAATTGAAAAACCTCGACTTATAAGTTACAATTAAAATTTGATGAACTTACTTGGATCACTGAAGGTAACAAGGCCAGTTCCCTTGAAATCACAGTTCCAGTAGTTTCTTCCATGCATCTGATAGTATGCATTCATGGCATATGATGCATGTGCATGTATCTTCTCAGGTGCAAAACAACCTCCATTTTCATCAATCTCCCTGCAATCAACTCCTCCTGGTCCACAGCAAAAATCTATCACAGACTGAACAACCTTATCATCTGCATGTGGTTTAGCCACACACCATACAGAAGGACCCCTTGACACAGTGGATCCTTTCTCCCCAAAACCAAGTTTATTATCTGCATTATTTGAACAAAATTGGCAGCTCAAATCTATATTATAAACTTTAGAACCATCCCCATTGAAAATCCCAAAGTTTTTCTCACTGGTGCCTCCTTGTTTCTTGTTTTCATTGAACAAAGCAAACACAAAAATCTCTATAATCTCCTTAGGCTTCATGGGGGTCCCTTTATTAGACTGTGCGCGTTCGATTAGCCTACTGTTGTAGGTTCTTGCGTTTTCAGGTGTTGCTGCGATATCACCTGCATCGCCCTTTGATGGCCACCCGGATTCTGAAACCGTAATCTTGATTGATCGGTTTCCGAATCCTAGTGAGCCGATAGCAGATCGAACTGCATCGATTTGTGCATCTAACATGTTAGTGTACATATTTCCCTTAACATCATGTACTGCGGTTGCATTGCCTAATAAGGCATATTCTAGACTAACCGTGGTTGGATTGTCCCGGTAAGCGAAATATGGATATGCATTCACCATGAATGGTGAACCGGTATCTGCTAAGAACCCTACAATGGCGGTCATCGTAGGGAGGAGCATGGTGGCGAAAGTGGAAGCCGAAGGAGGAAATGAAGACGCAAGGACAGCCATACTATGTGGTGTTGTGACCTTAATTTTACGGTTTAATCCACGACTGAGTAAAGCTGAATGTAAATTCTGCATTGCTTGTAGCAAAGCATTATGATCCAACTTATCGTCGTCTGTGGTTAAGTACTCATTGCCTACGGCAATAGCAATGATGGAAGTGGCCGGAATGAAGGGCATAACCCGAGTGGCGAACCATTGATCGGCTGCTGAAGGGCTGGCGCTTATGTTTGCGACATGGGAGTTTTCTACTGCTACAATGAGGTCAATGCCGGTATTAGAAAAGGCTTCGAGGATTTCAGGGTTGCTGTCATATATCTTGATCTTATCAATGAGGGTGGATTGGAGTAGCTGAGCCACCCTCTTCGGTGAAGGGAGGTTGTTCCCAATCGTGCCGTAGTTTATTCCAATGCTGGAAACTTGTTGAAGTAGGCCGAACTGGAGGAGGACAAGTAGGAGGAGGAGGTGAAGATTGATCAGAGCCATTATGGTTTGGAGGATAGTAAATCACTTGGTTTTTTGCCAAGAGTCTTGTTGTAGACACGAGAGTGAATATATTGCTGTGATTTTCACTCTCCACAACAGAGGTAAAAGAAATTGAAAAATAAAGCCTGCCCTTTTGCTATACTTTTGAGCTGGATTGCAAATGCTAGACACAACATAATTGAAATTACCCGCGTAATTATAGGTTTTTGCTTCCTTTGACAAATTGTCTGAGGCTATGTAGGTTGGGAGAACTGTCTCTGCCAAATAGTATCGAGCTCAACCTCTTCACGACTTGAGCTATGTTGACCTGACTGCGACAAACAGGCCCAGCCTCCCGTGGGTTCGGATCATCCTGATTCAGTCCATGGACTGTTCAGACTAGTATTGAAACGAGTCATGAGTTGAGTCAAGTTCAATTTTTTTTTTTTTCATGACCTACCTCAACTTCACTTTCTTCATCGACTTGTTTTTAGCCTATTTTATTATTATTACTTTTAAAAATACGAGCCCGACTTGTGTTCACACGAGCCAAAGGGCCAAACCAAGCATTGCCAACCCATGGCTGCCTTGAGTTCGCTAAGCAAGTTTTCGCTTTTGTGTCACGGATTGGATTAGGAAGATTTTCGATCAATCACGTGCGCACAACATGAAAGTTTATCTACTCCCATAAGTGTATGGAAGTTTAGAGATGTGATAAGGCTGGTGACGTTGGATTACCAGTTCATTTTCTAGTCAACAATGTCAGATATTAGACTGAGGAATGAATTTCAAAGGCCAAAAATTTGAAGTATCACCTAACCTTTTGCGCTGGATTGCAAATTGTGGGCCAACATACGACAAATACTGTAATTTTACGAGTTTCGAGTCCTTCCATTCAACTATTGCCTGTCTATATGCATGGATGATGTGTGAACACAACATAATGTGGTTCGATAACGTTTCTACGTCCCCTCGATATGAAAGATTATTGCTAATGCGTTTTGATATAGTAGTAGAGAGGATTGGACGGTAAATTAGATAAGGATTTGAGAGCATGTTTGGCTAAGCCTAAAATTCAATTAAAATTGAAAATATAGTCGTTATTGGATCTCACTCGTCTAATAAAAATAACAATAACGACTAATTTTTCAATTTTAATCCGATTTTAATCTCTATCGAACACGTCATTAATCTCTTTTCTTTATTTACAATAGTCAACGTTGCAAGTGGGTTGCACGTAATTATGAAATATTTTATAAGTGTTGTAAAAGTAATATTTGAATATGTGTGAATGTTAATTAATTTAGAATTAATATCAATGAATATATACGTGACAATTAATATTAAATCATTTAATTAATTCTCAA